TTCAGACAGAGGGACTGGTGGGTCTAGAAGCACTGCCTGGCCTGCTGACTGTCACGGCTTCCTGGAAGCCGTGGCCTGGACCTTCTTGCCGTCTGAGTCATAGAGCCAGGCAGGCATCCTGGGACTGCAGGCACGCACACACACCTAACCTGCTGCAGGATGTTGGGGTCAAGGCAAAGACCAAACACCAGGCATGCCTGGTACTGCTGTCATCTTTTATTCTAGTGGGGCCTACCTGCTTCCCCAAATCAAAGATGCATCTATACCAGGAAATTAAAATAAAGTAAAAAGAAATAGTTTCTTTATAGAGGAAACAGGAGAGAATTAGACCAGAAACCAGAGTTAAGTTTTATAACAGCTGAGCACTTAATTTGGCTCTCTGAGCAGACAGTAAAACATAACAGGATGCATGATTATCACTTGACAGACATTTTTTCCTGGCACCACATTCCAAGCAGAATTGATTCCTTGCACTCTCTTGTGGAGGATGTAGAGTAATAAAACACGTAATTTATTTGAAAGTATTTATGGAGAAGACAAACATTGGTCATGAGCTTCAGGTAACCTTCATTTCCTCACCTGCCTGTCCTATCTGCCCCTTCCTCGGGGGCTCCTTTTCTTGCCATCTGCATAACAGCCACATTCACCATCTTATGAGTCCTTCATATTTCTATTTTACCAAACAAAGTGGCGGTAAGGTGTGCACCCTGAAGAACAGTGCGTCAGGAGTTGAGAATCTCATTCCTACGTTTCATCTTGGCTGTCTGCAACCCTGGCCAAGTCACCCACCCTGTATGGGCCTCGGTTTCCCCATGTTTACAATGAGCTATTGAGCTGGATGGTGACCAAAGGAATCAGAGTTTGCATGTATTAAGAGCATTCTATGTTCCAGGCACATTCTATAATATCACCAATCCTTACAGTCATCTGACAGGACAGTTTCCATTTGACAGAGAAACTAAAACATGGCCTATATCCCACTGACTGGGATTTGAACCTGGCTCCACCTACACAGCCTGAGCCCTTTCCTTCGCACTTTATTGTAAAGGCCACTCCTCTGAGTCTCTGAATTCAATCTACACTGGTTGAATTCCTGCCATGTATGAGATATTCTGAGCAGCGTAGGTGGCAACAGAGTCCCTGCTCCCAAGGTACTGCCTGGGGAGGACTGATCAGGGACCTGGAATGTAAAGTAGTGTACACTAGTTACTTCTGTGAAGCTGCCACTGAATGTTCATTTTGTTCACAGCTGGGCAAGTCTGTGGTGGCCAAAGTGAAAATTCCGGAAGGCACCATTCTAACAATGGACATGCTCACCGTGAAGGTGGGTGAGCCCAAAGGCTATCCTCCTGAAGACATCTTTAATCTAGTAGGCAAGAAGGTCCTGGTCACTGTTGAAGAAGATGATACCATCATGGAAGAATCGGTAGATAATCATGGCAAAAAAATCAAGTCTTAAAATAAAGTGCCATTCTGTGAATTCTCAGTTCCCTGGCTGGTGCTGTCGGATGTGTCTGAGTGAGGCGGGGGCAGGAATGGCGGTCTCCAGGGACCTGGCCGTCATCCGCCTCCACCCGCTCCTTAGACAGCAGACGTTTCTGGGCTAGGCCCTGTGTCAGCCCACTGGAGAGAGAAAAAGATCCAGTGATGCAGTCTCTGCTTCAAGTTGGCCAGCTTAGAAGAGGGGGTGGTTCCAAACCACGTCCATATCCTTCAGTTGCTGGGTGGCTGCAGAGAGGGGCGAGAGCTGGCTGCGCAGGTCCTTTCCTGTAAGCCTTCAATCTCACTTCCTTACAGCCCTTTACTTCTCCATTGCCTTTATCCCTTTCCTGCCCTTGGCCTCTGTGTCTAGTTGGCATTGTATAGTAGTCCCTCCACATCAGAGAAAGGATTGGTCAAAGGATCTTGTAGGCAGAAAAATGCTGAAGGTTCTCCTCTCAGAGCAGAGAGGGAAATGGCATGTGTTCCTTCTCTGAACAAATACTGAGGGCCATCTGTGTGCCAGGCACTGCTTTAGGCACAGAGGATATAGCCATGAACAGCCCCAATCCCTTCCTCAGGGAACTTTCATTCAGATGGGGGCAGATGCATAAAAATCAATACACTATGCATGTATTGAGAGCATTCTATGTTCTAGGTACATTCTATAATATCACCAATCCTTACAGTCATCTCACAGGATAGTTTCCATTTGACAGAGAAACTAAAACAAGGCCTATACCCCACAGTGATTCCGTCACACAATATGTTAGAAGGTGGTATGTAAGCCAGGCATGCTGATGTGAGCCTGTAGTTCCAACTACTTAGGAGGCTGAGGCAGGAGGATCGCTTGAGACCAGGAGTTCAAGCTATAATACGATCTTGGATGGGAACAGGTGGGAGTTGTTTACACGTAAGTGAGAACTTTAGTGAGTTATCTTCAGAAGCAGTGAATGCCCCATCCCTGGAGATAGTTAATCAGGGAGCAGCTGACTACTACCAGAAGGCTGCCTAAGGAATAGGCTATGAGTGAAGGCCCGTCCGGGTGCTAGGGACTTGAAGCAACGTGAACTCCCAGTGAAGACCATGGTTAAAAGGGACATTATTCACATTTTATTAAACCAAATATTAGAAAATTGCTGTCATTTAAAAATATCTGCAAGCAATTTGCCAGATCAATAAAGAAATGTCTACAGATTCAAGTCTGAAAGAGAATAAGGTAAGTGATCAGTAACCCTTACCAACATGGAAACCAAGGAAGCCTCATTCCCGTGCTGAGAATATTCTAGTAGCTCTTGCTACTGCCACATGGCAGCTGGGAATACCAGTAGTCTCAGCACTCAGTCGGTACAGCGCACGCTCCCTTGGGAATGCTGATAAATCCTGGCATGATACAGCACTATAGTTTTTTGTTTTGTTTTGTTTTGTTTTTTTGCGACAGAGTTTTGCTCTGTTCCCCCAGGCTGGAGTGCAGTGGCACATTCTCGGCTCACTGCAATCTCCGCCTCCTGGGTTCAAGCAATTCTCTTGCCTCAGCCTCCTGAGTAGCTGGGATTACAGGCATGTGCCACCACACTCAGCTAATTTTTGTATAGGACTATAGTTTTTAAGGCAAGTTTATAACCTTTGGCTCATTTGAGCCTCACAGCACTGGTAGATAGTGCCATTATCCCCATTTTATAGATGGCACCGAGAAGTAAAAAGTGACTAGCCCTGGTCACACAATTGATTATGGACTGAAACTGCTGCTTTCTGGCTATCATGGGCCTTGACACAGCTAGTTTGTGACCTTTAAGGTCTAGCTCTGTCTCTGCTGCATGAATCCCAAACTTTTAAATCAAGTTCCCCTCTGGGCCATAAGGCCTCATCTCAGACCCCAAGGAAGGCAGTCCAAAGGTAGACTCAAGTGTCGTAGAATCACCGGGCACAAGGAAAGCATCATGGGCAGTAGCTCCATGAGAGGGGCCAGAGCACTAGGCACTGGCCAGAGACCAGCTGCATTCAACCTGAGCAGTAGGGCCTGGTGGCCATGAGCACAGACCCCAGCTCCACCACCAGCTGTGCGACCTTGGGCAAGTGACTCTGGGTCTCCATTTTGCCATGTGTAGAATTGGGATAACTTTCTATCCCCTAGGGGTGATGAAAGGATCAGATAAGTTTAGTTGTAAAGCATTAGAACAGTGCATTATAAGCTAGTAAGAGCTGTTATTACTTGGCCCCTGCAGCTGTGGGTCTGGGAAGAGGTCTTGATCATCAGGGATGGACAGAGATGTTGGGGTCAAGTGTATTCATCTTCACTCTGTCAGGAATGCCTTCTGCCTGTCACAATTCAGTTTGGGCCATCTCCTAGTAGAATTAATTTCCCCTTTTTCTCACGATTCCTGCAGCATAGTGCTTTAAAACTCTGTCCAGCCAGAGTTTTAAAGTCTTTGGTTAGAAGTTAAGGCGTTTGCAAGGTTCTGTCTGCCTGGTGTTCTGCTACATTGTCTTATATCAAAAGTGCCATTTTTAACTCAAAAACTATTAAAAATTGTCAGTTTTATATCGTTCAAACTAATGCACTGAGAGTCTGTTTCAATTATGAGGATTCGGCGGCCTCAGCCTCCCACCAAGCACCTATGAAGATGCTTTAACAGAACATAACTTCAGAACCGTCTAGGGAATTGACAAAACAGGACGCGGAACCTTCAGGAACTGACAAAACAGGACGCGGAACCTTCAGAACAGAGACACAGGCCCTGGGAAGAGGCCTCCCCCTACCTGCTAGAGGAGCTGGCCTCCCTGTGAGAGCCTACCGTTCTCTATTTCTGTCACTTCGTTCCAGACAGCTGGGTGCTCTTCCCCTTTTTGTCCCAGGACAGTTGGGAAACACCACCCCCTTTGGTTGCTTAGCAACTGTCACCTGCTGATTCCTTCCCAGCATTCCCTGAGAAATGAATAAGCAGGTTGAAAGCTGGGCCTAAGGGCTGGGCCAGGGGACAGGTCAGATGCTTGCTTGGGGGCGGGTGGATGGGGCACACATCTGGCACCCCCCATATCACCACGGGGTAACTTTACGCAGCTGCTTTCTTTCAGGACCTCAGAGACTCCCCAAATGTACAATGAGATCTGGCTGGGTGACCTGTGACTCAGTGATGGGAACTTGCTGGTTATTAATTCACTGCTTGGGAGGGAAGGGGCTTTCTGAACTTTTCAGGGTGGAGAGAGTATAGGACAAAGCTGCCCTTCCAAAGCCTCCAATTTAGTTGGAAAGATAGGGTCCCAGATTTGTGGCTCTGATAGTGAGATTCTTGTTCCTTGGTTAGACTTCCTGGCGCAGGTAAGCCTGGGGAAGACTGAGACAGGTGAAGAAACTTTTCTGCATGTATGTGCTGGCAGCAAAGAGGTGTGGAGGTGGAGCTATGCGGCATATTTCTGACTGGAGAGTCTCTAAGAAGAGTGGTAGGAGCTAGGTGAGGATAAGTAATTTTGGGCAGACTAGATAAGCCTTGAATGCTAAGGTGAGGCGCTTGTATTTTTTGTTTGTTTTTCCATGGTAACTCCCGGAAGCCTCTTCATAGCTGAGAGGTTAAGTGAAGTTTTAGGAAGATCACTCTAGTTTTAGGGTGGAAGATGAGGACTGGGAGAGGGTTCAGACCAGGAACTGCTAAGAAGCTCTTGCAGCTGTTCTGGAGGGAGCTGTGATGTGGACAAGCTGAAATCGGTGGGGAGGAAGCGGTAGATTCAAGGGACCTCAAGAGACAGAAGAGTCAGGGCTGGATGACTCTCATTCATTCACAAACATTTACTGTGTGCCTACTATGTGCGAGGTTCCTGTGTTGTAGGAGGGAGAAGGTTCCCAGGCTGCGGATGATGTATTCAGCATGCTGAGGGCTTACCTGTGGGGGTATCACTTTGAAGGAACTGGATTAAAGTAGTGTAAGTGATGGTGGGGTGGGGGTGCGGAGGTCTGATGAGAAGGCAGCAGCAGACTTGTTTAGGGCCTGTTTCAAACTAGCCTAAGAGAGGAAACCTTCAAAGCACTGTAGGCGTGATTGGTCGGGGAGAGGTGGGGCAGGGAATGGGCCCTAAGAAGCAGTCAGTAAGGGGAGCAACCATGCTAATCTAGGTAGATTAGGCGAGACTGGGCAGCTGCGGCGTACCTGGAGGCTGTCACGCCGGTCCTGGCCCCTAGGGCAGCCGGGCGATGCTGATGGCCCCCTCCCAGAGCCGCAGAGCCGGGTAGACCGGCTCCTGGAAGGTGGCGCGGAAGGTGTGCAGGTGGCTCATGCTGCCCGTCACGTCGTAGAAGGCGAGGACGCCGGCCTCGTAGTCCAGGAAGACGCCGAGCCGGTCGAGGTCGTCGCGGGGCCGCAGGCGGCTGCGCTGACCGTCGTGGAAGGCCCAGTACTCGAGGTCGTAGCGCTTGAGGCACCAGGACTGGCGGTTGCAGCCCAGGCGGGCGGCGGCGGAGGCCCCGCGGCGCCGAAGGGAGGCGTAGGCCGCGCCCACCCACCAGCCGGCGCCCGCCTCCTGCACGTCTACCTCCCAGTAGTGGCGGCCGGCGGCGAAGCAGTCGCGAGCCAGCACCTGCCAGAGCGCGTCGAACCGCAGCGCGGGCACGGGCCCCAGGCTGCCCAGCAGGCCGCACCGCACAGTCAGCCGGTCTGCCGACAGGCGCAGGCGCGCGTGCATCGTGTCCGGATCCAGCGTGGGCGTGCGCGCGTCTGCAGAGGGCGAGATAAGGGACGCACCTGGTGGGCGGGGCCAGAACGGCGCCCCGCCCCCTGGATCCCACCAAAGCACAAAATGCGAAGCGCGGAAATGGCCCGAGGGAGTGAAAGACCTAAACCGCGACTGCCCCTGGGGCGTGGGCTTGGGGAAAGGGGAGGCAGAGATCACTCTACTGCACATCCCTTATACTGTCTGTATTTTGTGCCGTGAAATTTGTTGCCAATTAATACAAATTTAATTTAAAATAATCCTATCACTGTTAACATTAGGGTATGTGTACTTCCTATCTTTCCCCTCCCCTTGCTGCTTTATGGGTTTTCTTTCTTTTCTTTTTTTTTGAAACGGAGTCTCGCCCTGTAGCCCAGGCTGGAGTGCAGTGGAGCGATTTCGGCTCACTGCAAGCTCCGCCTCCCAGGTTCAGGCCATTCTCCTGCCTCAGCCTCCCGAGTAGCTGGGACTACAGGTGCCCGCCACCACGCCCAGCTAATTTTTATAGCTTTTCTTAATATTGGTGTCACACCATACATGCGTTAGGTAATCTGCTTTTTAAAATTGATTTATCTACTTGTGAGGCATTTTGACACATCAAATAACAGCCTTTCACAAGAGCATTTTAGTGGAGATTCTAATATTTGGATGTTTGGACACATAACTTAGTCCTATATTTTTTGGAATATTTAGTCTGTTTAAAAACCTTTTGAAACTACTAATACAATTACATTTTTGTGTATCTGATTGCCTCTGTAGAATATATTCCTAAAACAGGAATTGCTGGATCAATGGTATGATTGTTTTTAAGGCCTTTGATACCTATTGCAAAACTATCCTCCCCAAAGTTTGTAGTGATTTAAACTCCTATTAACATTTCTCTTTGCATTACACCATGTATGCACACATGAAGTTGTTTTTTTTAGTCTGGATCACAGGGTATGTGGACGTTCAACTTTCATAAACAATGCTAAACAGTTTTCCATGGACATTTGGGTTGTTTCGGTGTTGCCTATTGTGACTAATGTTGCTGTAACTGTAAATGTGTAACAGAAAGAGACTGAGTAGTTTTCTAAGAAAAAGAGCATTTTTCTTTTTTTTTTTTTT